TTCTTTTCTTATTAATGTTATTATTATTCTTCTTCGTCTTACGATTCGTAGTATTATTATTATTATTATTATTAGTATTATTATGTTCCTCCTCCTACTCCTCCTCCTCCTCCGCCTCCTCCTCTTCGTCGTCCCCCCTCCTCCTCCTCCTCCTCCTCCTCCTCCTCCTCCTCCTCCTCCTCCTCCTCCCATTCCTCCTCCTCCTCCTCCTCCTCCTCCTCCTCCTCCTCCCCTCCTCCTCCTAATCTTCCTCCTCGTCCTCCTCCTCCTTCTCCTCTACTCCCTCCTCCCTCCTCCTCCCTCCTCCCTCCTCCTCCTCAAGCACAGGTGGGGGGGGCGCGTGGTACCATGTTTTGGCTCCTTCTCGCTTAGCTAGCCTAGCTTCCCGCCTCCGCGTTGGCGCTTGAGGGACACCAGGGCGTCTGGGCCGTGTTGGGAGTCGTTTGCTCACAACGGCATCGTCCAGCCCCTCCTGGTGACGAAGGGGAGCGAACTCACGATTTCAAGGCCCTGGCAGCGTCGTCATCTAAAGTGCTGCATTCCCCAATCACCGCACGGGGGGTGTATTTTGGCTCTTGCTGGCGTCGTCATCGATAGTGCCGCATTCTCCCATCACCGCTCAGAGGGTGTATTTCTGGACCGTGGTTCTGTGAGATTTTCAAAAGGCGCCCGCTGTGCATCTTCCTCGGCTTCCCGCCCGCCCCGAGCCGCGGTATCCCGTCGGGGTGATCATCTGGGTGCTGCGCCCCATCCTCTCGCTGGTCTCTATGCATATTCTGGCTTGGTGGGTTGGAGACGAATTCAATCTATGCTGGTTTCAGTGAATGATATGGTTACGAGGCCGTCTGCGGTGGATGCGATCTCATGTTGGTGCCTTTCGTCGCAAGCCTGCGCGTTGGGAGTTCGAGGTTGTCCGATGACCACTGGTTTGTTTCGCTTTTCAATATAGTGGGCCGTCTCGAGCAGACTCCGTTACGGTTGAGCCGGCATTCCTCTCATTGAAACCACCTGTGTATACGTCCTCGTGGCTGCGTGGTCTTGGGTTGGAGTGAAACTTCAGCTATTCTGGTTCTCCAGGTGCTGGCGTGAGGTACTCGCTCGTGGTACAGGCGTTGGTGCCTTTCCACGTACTTCCCGTTCATGGTCTCCAGATTCTGGGTCGTGTCGTACGCCTTCCTGTTCGTCTTCTTCGGGGAGTTCAGGGCGAAGCAGGGTTTGAGTTATGAGTATTTTCGCTACGCGAAAGCTGTAATCCCTGTAATCCCTCCTCCCTCCTCCTCCTCCTCCTCCTCCTCCTCCTCCTCCTCCTCCTCCTCCTCCTCCTCCTCCTCCTCCTCCTCCTCCTCCTCTTCCTCCTCCTCTCCTCCTCCTCCTCCTCCTCCTCTCCCTCCTCCTCCTCCTCCTCCTCCTCCTCCTCCTGTTCCCTCCTCCTCCTCCTCCTCCTCCTCCTCCCCTCTCTCCTCCTCTCTCCTCTTCAGCCTCCTCCTCCGCCTTCTCCTCCTCTTCCTCCTCCTCCTCCTCCTCCTCCTCCTCTTCCTCCTCCCCCTCCTCCTCCTCCTGCTCCTCCGCCTCCTCCGCCCTACTGCGCGGACGAAGACGAGGTCGGGATCACAAGCAGCCCCAACGCAGACTAGTCGTCGGAATTGCGCTGTTACTACACTCAGCCTCCTTCCTGCTGCGCTGTTGCACAAGCACGGTGGCGGAGTTTGCCGCACGCAGCTGGATATTCATGCGCAGCGATCGGCAGGCAGGCCCCCGCACCGCTTTGAGGACGGCTGCACTTCAAAGGGAAGCTGTCGTGGGACTTCCTCTACCTGAAGGACCAAACACGTCAACACATGCAGCAGCTGCACGCGTGGAGGGTGGTTACACTTCAACGTGGGACTCTCGCTTGAGACTTCCTCGAAGATCATGACCAGAAGCGACAACCCACGGCTACACGGATGGGGGAGCGGTCCTCTCTCAAAACGGAGATGTCGCTGTACACCTCGCTGAACTGTATGATCATAGCTTGTCGCATTCCTGGCTACGCGCTGGGAGGATACAGGGCAGGTCCTTGTCCAAAAGGGACACCCGCCTGAATTCCAGGCCCGCGGCGTTCTGGTCGTTCAAGGGGGCGCTTCTTCTAGTGCAAAGAAAAACGTGTTGGATGCACGAAGAGGGAACTTGAAACGGGAGGGTATGCAAAAGCATCGCTGACGCATCTTGGGACTGATCTGGTGGTCCTGCTGCTGCTCCTCCTCCTCCTCCTCCTCCT